GGCTGAGGTGAGGCAGGCCACGCCCTACCCAGATGCTGCACCCCAACCCCAAAGGGGCAGCTCAGCCCAGCCCCAGTCCAGCCCCCAGGGCTCCCGCAGACAGCAGAGACCTCCTCCGCCCACAACCCACCCACCAGGGGCTGCAGCGAGCTACCTGGAACTGCTTTGGACCCGCAAACCATGCACATGTGTGGCCCCAGGCAGGTCTGCAGGCCGAGTCCGTATGCCCCGGGGTCTGTGCACCCAGGAGCACGCATGCTTAGGGGCAGCATCCCACGCGGGAAAGGGCTTCAGAGGGAAGAGGTCTGCTCAAGGTCACGGAGCAGAAGTCAGTCCTGAGCACGCAGCGCCACCACCTCCTGGCCGCGGGAACCCTCTCCCTGCTGGGCCCGTCCTCAGATTAAATCCTGGCTTTAGCCCGGCCGGCGTGGCTCAGTGGTTGAGCATCGACCTAGGAACCAGGAGGTGATGGTTCAATTCCCGGTCAGGGCACACGCCTGGGTCGTGTGCTCGATCCCCAGTGTGTGGCGTGCAGGAGGCAGCCAATCAATGCCTCTCTCTCATCAGTGATGCTTCTCTCCCTCCCTTCCTCTCTGAAATCAATAATAAAAATATATTTAAAAAATAGAGCCACAGGGTGTTCTGGGGCAGAGCAGACAGACACCCTTCCCACGTCCCAGGGCCAGGCCGGCCGGCTTGTGGCCAAGACCGCCCAGCCCAACAGCTCCATGGACGCAGAGCCACCACCACCTCCCGGGGGTGGGGATGGCACACAAGAGCGGGGGCTCCACAGGCACCCCAGGCTCCCTGACCCCCTCCCTGCCTGCTGTGGGGACTCGCTGGGACCTGCTGTCCCCAGCTTGTCAGGGCCCTGGGGAGGGGTACGGCGCACAGCCTGACACCCCACGTCACAGGGGCATGACCCGGGGCCCAGGAAGGTGGTTTCTTGTATTTAGCAAACACTCACACGGCACTGACTTTGCCCATATCTGCCCCTGTCACCCCTTCAGCCACCCTGTGACGGGGGCACAATCATGATCCCAACCTTATGGGCAGACACTGCAGCCACAGAGGTCAGGGACAAAACCACAGTTAGGCCCTGGCTGGTGTGGCTCAGTGGATAGAGCATCCGCCTGTGGACTGAAGGGTCCCGGGTTCGATTCTGGTCAAGGGCACATGCCCTGCTGTGGGCTCGATCCCCAGTAGGGGGCGTGCAGGAGGCAGCCAATCAATGATTCTCTCTCATCATGGATGCTTCTCTCTCCCGCTTCCTTTCTCTCTGAAATCAATAAAAATATATTCAAAAAAACAAACAACAACAAAAAACCCACGGAGAGTGCAGAGGCCGCCCCAAAGCAGCTGAGAGGCTGGAACTGGTGGGCCGGCCTCAGAGCCAGTGCCTGCGGTCACTGAGGGGTGTCGGCAGGCAGGCAGGCAGGGAGGGCGGAGGAGAGAGGCCGGGGACGAGGAGGGCAGAGTGGGGGCAAAGTCCTGGCCTGCCTGTGGCCCGGTCCTGCACACGATGTCCCCCGCGGTGCACCCCTCGTGGTAACCAGGCTGCCAGGCCCCGGGGCTGCACCTCGGTGTCCCGGCGGAGGCCCTCCCCCAGCCTCGGGCGGCTGTTCCTCGAGGGGGGACGGACTGTTGACCTTAACGCTTGGCTGTGCCGCATCACGAGGTCACCTGCTGTGGTCAGAGCATCACACCTGGTGTCCCCCGGCCCCTGAGCTCCAGGCCATGCCCCGGCCACCGGCCTCGCACGCCCCCTTGGAGTCCGGAGGCCACACCCCAGCTTCCCAGCACCCTACCCACGGCCTTCTGGCAGCTCCTGCTTTAGCCAAACCTCTTGTTAACCTAAAGAAGAAAAGGCCTCTCAACGTGAGAGACGAGCGTTTATTTGAGATTTTTTAAAAAGCTATTCCCGAATCACTGATTCTGGCAAAAGCCCAGATCGTGCTCTGCTCAGGAGACCACGCGAGGGGGGCTCACGAGCGGGCAGGGACCGTGACGTCCGCAGAGGAAGGCGCGGCTGTCGGTGCCGACAGCTTGGCAGAGTGACGCTGACTCCCACCCATGTTTCATTTCCGGTCCTGCCGCCGTCTGCCCAGCGGTCGTCACACCTGCTTTCTCGTCGTCTCTGCACACAGTTCTCTGGGCCACAGGCTGCTCTGGGCCCCTGCAAAGGTGACTGTGCCCCGTTTTCACATCCAGCGATCGGAGGCGTAAGAGGTGCCAGGCAGCGCCTCCGGGTCCATTTATGGTTTTGTCCACATCCCCCCTTGCCGTCAGGGTCTTCCTTTGGGAGCTTCCTGGTCCGTCCTCAGAGAGCGGCCTCGCTGGCTCCGTTGTCCGGGGCTCTCTGGGGCGTGTCCCGCCCGCGTCCCTCCCTGGTCTCCAGGCTCATCCCCGTGGATCACGTCCCACAGACGCGGGAAGTGGTTTTGTTTCTGGAGCCTCAGGCCACATTTGAGCAGCAAGAGCTCAGTCGTATTTCTTTTTCTTTTTTAATATATATATTTTTTATTTCAGAAAGGAAGGGGGAGAGAGAGAGAGAAAGAGATGGAAACATCAATGATGAGAGAAAATCCTGGTGGGTTGGCTGCCTCCTGCACGCCCCACACTGGGATCGAGCCAGCCACCCGGGCCTGTGCCCTGCCCGGGCATTGAACCCTGACCTCCTGGGCAGGGGTCAGCGCTCAGCCACGGAGCCACGCGGCCGGCACGACTCGTTCTGCTGTGCCTGCCTCTTCTGTGGAGAACGTCCCTGCCAGGCAGGTGCGTTTGTGCGTTTGTACCCTGCTGTGTCTGCAGGTACCAGACCTGGCCCAGTGCCGCCTGAATTCATCTCTGCCCGACTCGAGACAGAACCTCTCGCCCTAAGAGCCAGACAGAGACCCATCTTCCACCTTCACCAGACTTCAGCCTGGCTCCTCTCAGCCGCCCGCCCGCCCTCCCTCCCCGGGCCTCGCCCCCAGCAGCTCCA